CAGCTCCCAGGCACCACTGGGGCCCTCTGTGGGAGTGAGCACCCATTCAATCTGACCACAGCTCCTAGATCTGAGTCCCAGAAAGCCTCTGTCCAGAGAGCTGCCCATCTTTCTCCAGGGCTGACCTTGAGGTCACGAGGTGTTGCGTTGAGCAGACCTACCCAAGCTCCTGGTGAGTCAGGACTTCTTAACCCTCTTTGTGCATGGGATCCTTGAGCAGGCTGGAGAAGCCTATAGACCCCTTTTCAGAGTAATGTTTTTAAGTGCATAAAATAAATGCGTAGCATTGTAAAGGAAACCAATATATTGAAATGCAGTTATCAACATATTAAACATACAAGTTTAAAATATAGCAATTTATCTTGAATAGTATGATATTTTTTAATAATGTATTCAACGACCAAATCTTATGGGAGGTCCAGTGACTATTATCCTCCCACAGCAGGGAGCATAAGTGATATGTCCAGATATATGCAACAATTGTATGAGAACATGAAAATGTCATAGAGGGACTATAGGTTGTAGCCTTCATTTCTGATGGAAGGAAATGGTACATTTTATTTAGAGGTCAGTTACATACAGATGTCATGTTTACCCCATCCATGTTCATGAGCTGCTGAGTTCCGCCCATGGGCCTGGGGTAAGGAGGTTTTCACACAGGGGAGCCAGGTGAAGGACGCTGAGTCTGAGAGGAGAGGGGTGGTGCCTGAGAGGAGAGGCCCAATCCTAACCAGCCAACATTCTTGGGACCTTGATAAAATATGAAAACCTATCACAGCCTGTTCATGAAGTCGCAGAATCACAGGTTTCCAGGGCTGGGAGGGCTGAACCCTGCTGTGGTTTGAATGGATGTTCCTCCAGAATTCATATGTTGGAACATAAACCCCAAGGGGTGGTAGTAAGAGTGGGGATCTTTTAGGAAGGGATTAAGTCAGGAGGGCTTCACCCTCATAAATGGATCATAAAGGAGGCTGAAGGGAGCACCCTAGTCCCTTTTGCCCTCCCATCCCTCCTGCTCTGTGAGGACACAGAAAGGTGCCTCATCTTGGAAGGAGAAAGCAGCCCTAATCAGACCCCGAATCTTCCAGTGCCTTGATCTTGGACTTCTCAACCTCCAGAACTGTGAGAAAATAAATTTCTGTTTTTCATAAATTACCCAGCTTAAGATATTTTGTTAAAGGAGTACAATCAGACTAGGCAAACCCCCCTTTGCAGACACCTCCACTGGATGATCTGGTCCTTGGCCTCTGCTCGCACACCTCTAGGGATGGGGAGCTCACTCTCTGGGACAATCTCATCCAAGGGCTGAATAGCTCCAACCCTCTGAGGAATGGTGACCATGTCTTCATTCACACACACAGAGGAATCAGACCCTGTCCCTGCTCCCACAGCTGGAGAGTGGAGAGAGAATCCAGCTAGAGCTAAAATGTTGTATTCATTCATTAATTCTCTGAGCTCCTGCTCTTTGCCAGGCCAGTGGTAGGCATTGCAATCACTGAGATTTAATTTCATAACATATTTGTTGAGTGTTTGCCCAGTTGAGTGTGTGCTGGGGGTGAAGTAGACATGATACCTTCCCTCTGGGGAGACAGATGTTAAAGGGGTAAACATGCAAATTGGTGTGTGATTGCAACTTGTGATGATGACTGTGAAGAGATGAGCAGAGGAGACTCATAGAAGGGAGTGACTTCTGATGGGTGAGAAGGGAAGTCAAAGAAGGCTTCCCGGAGAAGGTGACATTGAAGCAAGACTTGAAGGATCATTTCAAGTTTACCCAACAAATAGGAGGGAGAGAGTGTTCCAGGTAGAGAAAAGTGGGGAGGAGGCACTGAGGCAGGAAGGAGCTTGGCTTTTGTTAGGAAGTGACAGGTGGAACCAGGGCCACATAAGGTTGGAGAAAGGGTAAGAGAACATTGTCTGGGTCTTCAAGCCCGTGCAGAGAAGTGTGGGTATTATTTCAAGAGCCAGTAGAAGCCATGAAAGAGTTTAAGCGGGATATGTTTGAATGAGTAAAACATGGTCTCCAGGAGCAATTAGCTAACTTTTTTGCCTCCGCCAGGAAGCCTTCCTTCACAACGCAGTCCTCCACGTTGCCCTGCGTCACAGCCCCGGGCACACCAGGTGTACTGTTTCCAGAACTGGTGACCATTTACATCAATGTCCACCTTCCATTCCTCCAAACACCCCTGGAGGGGGACAAAAGTGGGGGCTGGAGGGAGGGTAAGTTGCAGAATCTTCACCTGCAAACTGGCTTCCTGCTCTTCCCAACCCGTCTGGGATTGGAGTGAGACACTGTCACCTGGTGGCAACACACAGAATGGCAGACAAGAAGGCCTGGGGAGGCAAGAGGCTCCTGGCAGCAGTCCAGCCCACTTTTGCTTTTCTGAAAGGTGACACAAGATCTTGGTAAATGCAGGGCTTGCCTAAGGGGTCTGATGAGTGCGGTAGCAGAGCAGGGTTGGAAACAGGAAAGAGGAGCTGAGCGTTGGTGGAACAGTTGCTCAGGACACAGGGTCCAACCCTGTGAGGCTGCCAAGACCTGAGTCCAGACCCTTGGCCCAAGCCAGAGCAGCAGGGACCCACCTTGTTACCACGGGGACCAGAGCCACGTACAAACAGCTGGGGAGATGACCTCCCACCTGTGTGAGAACCTCTAGGGAGCAGCAGGGACCAGCCTCCAAGCCAAGTGTTCACGCATGCCCCTTTTTTCTGGAACAACTTGTTTTGCTCTAAAGCTTGGGACTTTGACCCAGGAGGTGTGTTTTCATCCTGCCGGTCACCTGATGTCCTTCCTGCTCATCCCTCTCCCACACCACTCCCAAAGTCTGGTCTAGGGAGTCCTTGCCTTTCCCCAGGTTTTTCAGGGGAGTGGGGGATGCCTGGGTGAAGAAGACAGAACTTGGGGCTTGAGGGCTGATGGCAGAGGCTGGGCTGCTCCAGGGGTCGCTACACACACACACACACACACACACACACACACACACACACACACACACACACACACGTCCTAGGGTGACCATGCACTTCCATGCCTCAGTTAACCTCACTGTGTGGCAGATGGCTTCCACGTCTCCCTCTCTCCTCTAGACCCAGGGATCCTGAAGCCTCTGGAAGTCTCTCTGGGAGATCCACAGGCACAATACCTCTAAGCCTGTAGCTCTTCAATCCTCTCCACCCCCCAAACTCGCTCTGGCCCCTTCTGAGGCACCACCATTCACCCTGCTGCCCATGCCAGAAACCTGGGAGTTGCCTACACCCCTGCCTCCCACTGCACCCACTCCCCACTAGTCACAGTGTTCCAGCAACCAAGCCCTGGCTTTCTGCCTCCTCCACGGGGCTCACACAGGCCCACAGTCCCTCCCTGCTGAAGACCCATCAGTGGTGTTGTGGCTACTGCAGCAGCCTCCTTTGGCTTCCCTGCCTTCGGCCTTTCACGCTCCACACTGCATGGAGAAGTGCTCTCTCAAATGCAAAACTGGCCATGTGATGCCCCTACTTAAAACCTTTGGAGAAGGTGCCAGTGCATGTTGGTTAAATTCAGCCCATTCTTGACATTCCAGTCAGTGATTCCCTGGCTGTTTATTAACACACACAATGCCCGCTCCAGCCTATGCCAGAAGATTCTGAGGCCACCAAGGCAGGGCAGGGAGGGAGAATAGGGCATGCATGTATGGGGCTGTCACTCCACTCCAAGCAGAGTTCCCTAGATCACCTCGAGACATCCTGTCTTTGTTTGGCAGTGGGCCCTTCTGCACATGCATGTGAACACACATGTGCACCCACACACTAACACACACACAGGAAGCAGGCACAAGGCATAATGTCTGAGTGTTCACTGGAAGAACCATCCTGCTTAGGAAGGACTGCCCAGGAAGCCCTGTGACACCAGTTTTGTGGCTCTGGGGCTGGGAGGCCATGGAGGGGCCTCCCGCTCAGTCCCTGGCTTCTGGGGACCGTCTGTCTCCAGGACTTTGCCCCTGGTCTTCTTTCTATGGAGTGAGCATCCCCACTGTCCACACTCCTGGGGTGGGGGGTAGGGTGGGGCAAGGAGACAGCAGGACCCTTGGCCTGAGGCCTCCACAGTCCCTGAGCTGGAGGGCCAGATGGGCACCATGTGATTCTGGAGGACTTTGGCCTCTTTGGAGGAGTCCGGCTTCAGGACCTCCTGTTCCAGGGGATAGGCTTGCCTTTCTCAAGGCTGCTGGCTATGGGATTCCAGGTGCCAGATTGGATCTTACCATGTGGGATGTCCTTTCTTTGCCATCCACAGCAGAGCTATGTTCACCTAATTCTCTCCCATACAATGAGTGAGATGGCTCTGAGTAGGTATTGGGGCCTCTGACCAAGCCCAGACCTTGTCTGAGGGAGGCCCTGCCTGGTTTCCAGGGGCCACATCTGGGGCTGAGAGAAAGAGTTGGGTGGGACCCAGGTCAGTGGGGCTGTGTGAGGGTTGGTCATCGGCTGGGAAGCAAGGGGCTGCTGAGATCTCCCTGGGAGAGGATGGATTGAGGAAGCTGCTGGGCTGGGCCAGGGTGTGGGAGGCTGTGCTTTGTCCAGGGTCTGTCTTGGCAGGTGACGGGGAGGACAGGAAATAGGCCAAGCTCTGGGGCAGTTGAGCAGCTTTGAGCCTTCCCTGGATCTCTGGGGTTTTCCCCGGGCTCCCTGAGCCAGCCAGCACATTTCTCAATCCCAGTGTCATCAGCCTTCCAAGAAGCCCCACCCGCTGGGCCCGTCAAGCCAGGAGCCACAATGTGTCACTGCTTTCCCCAGAGCCTAGCCCCTCTGCCAGGAAGGAGGAGCTCAGGGGCTTGGAGGTGAGGCTGGGGCTCTCCCTACGTCTGCCTGGTCCTCAGACCCACCTCCTTAGCTAGCCCCTGGAAGGTGACCTCGAATGCCAACGGGAGTGGAGCGGGCTGGGCGCCGGCCAGAGGAGGCCAGGCCTGGCAGCTCATTACCATGGAAGGGAGGGCAGTTTCTCTCCACCTCCCACCTTTCCCTCCCCTCCCTCCCTCGCCTTCTTCCTTCCTACCTCTCCTTTTCCAAGGCCAGACTGAGCCCAGGTTGATCTCAGGCTGACACCAGCAGAGTCCACAGCAACCCCAGGAGTCCAGACACCGACGGCCAGAAGAAAGGCCCAGGAGGACCTGCAGCCATGTCGGCCCTCAGCCTGCTCATTCTGGGCCTGCTCACGGCAGTGCCACCCGCCAGCTGTCAAAAAGGTAGCTCAGGGTTGGGTCAGCCCTGGTGGCTGCAGGGAGGAGAGGGCTGGGTGCTGGTGATCCAGGGGTGGGTGGGGTGGGGTTCTGGCCCCCGCCCCACCTAACACCCGTAGCTTGGGGGGTGGGAAGCAGGGACTGGGCCAGTTAAAGGAGCCTCCCAAGGCAGAGACCGCCGAGCTGGACCTCTGTCTGTGACTTGCTTCCCAGGAGTGAGAAACGGGTGCAGTAGGGAAATGTTGGGTCTAGGATCTGGGGGAGGAACAGGAGTTGAGGCCCAAGCCCTAGAGCTGGCACTGCCCTCCAGATGCTGGGTTCTGAGCACAGGGATGCAGGCCACAAGGGGGTGTGGCCTGAGCCACCCATCAAAGGCAGGGCAGTGCTGGTGGGGGTTTACCCATGGCTTTGATCTAAATCCTCCTTGGCTCAGTCCTGGGCTTGGGTAGAGAGCAGTGTCCCAATAGTGGCCCCTACCATGCCCACCTGAGCTTTTCATACTACTCAGCCTGTCTTGCAGTGTGGCTCTGAGTAAATCACTGCCTCTCTCTGAGACTCAGTTTTCTCACCCATAAAATGAAAACAATAAACCTCACCCTGCCTGCCTTCCCAGGTCAGGGGTGTGGAAGGGCTTTGTACCTGGTAAAGCACCACACCCCACGGTCTGGCGTCCTGTTAGGCTGCATCTGGTGACTCTGCAGGTGGGACTCGGGCCCAGAAGGAGCTGACAAAGATGTTTCCACACCGCCTTCTGTCCTGACCTCTCATGTATGTGGCCTTCAACTCTGTCTCCTGGGTCTTGGAAGCCCTCTGGGGAACTGAAGACGGGAGAGGTTGAATAAATAACAGGTCACAGGGCAGGGCAAGAAAGAACAGGACTCAAACCACCTTTCTCCTGCCCTGGGCTCTGCCCTTATTGTAGTCGCTTTCCCAGAACCACATGGGGGTGGAGCAGGGGACTGTGGGCTCTGGGTGACTGGAAGGAATTGGTTGCAGGGTCTGAAGGAAGCAGGGGGGGGGGTCCTCCTGGAGCCCCAACTCCCAATGCTTGAGTACCCACTGACTCGAGGAAGCAATGAAATTAAACCAAAACACTGCTCTTTGGCTGGTGTGGAGCACCAGGTAAGCACACTGTGCATTTTCTGCTACCCCAGGAGATGAGCAAGGTCTCACCTGGCATCAGACTCCTCCTTCCTTCCCAATATCTGCCATGCTCAGAGAAGAGGTTGAGCTTCACTGTAGCAGGGGAGCTTTAAGGTAGACTCAAGGAAGGCTTTTGAGTGGATATGAGGCAGAGTAGGGTTTTTTTTTAATCCCTAGACTGGGATCCTCAAAATATAGGGTGGCTCTAGGGATGCAGGTATTTTGGCCTGGAGGCAGGACCTCAGAAGTGTCCTGTGGCCCTATGTCCTGTCCTGGGACCTCTGTCTGCAGAGTGGCTTTCCTCTGCAGGGCTGGGTTTCTTCAGGCTCATGGAGCACTGTGATGCCTGGGGAAGAGAGGAGACATTTGGGAGTGGCTTGAGGGTGGAGACTTCTGGGCAATCTTGAGGGCTTGAGTTGGTGTCAAGGGTCAAAAAAGCACGAAGGGTACATGCTTAGGGTCTCAACCTGGTCTCTGATGCTAGTCTCTGGCACCCAACTGGAGGAACCAAAAGTGGCTTGGGTTTTGAAGCTTCCTTCCTGGCCCTCAAGACCCAGAGAAGAACTTGCCCCGTCATCCATCTCTCTAAAGGCGTCCTGGTCCACTCCTTCCGCTGGACACCCAGGCCCCTCCAGCTGAGCAGCCCTGCTGCCCCCATTCTCACACTCTTCCCAGCACCAGAGAGACCTCTTGTTACAGAACAGGATCTTCCAGATGCCAGCCCAGGCTTGTCAGCTCTGGGCTCTCCTCAGCCTTCTGGGAGCCACTCCCACCTGGCACGGTCTATGCCGGCTGTCCAGGGAGCTGCTCTTTGGTCCCTGTGGCCCAGGCACTCCCCGGGGGGCCCTGCATGTGACCCATCACGGAGGTTGGGAGGGGAAAAGGCTTTGGGCTGCCTGGACCACAGACACAGAACACTGAGGCCTGCTCCTCCCTGGCCTCTCATTCCTTCCTCCCACTCCCATTTTCTCTCTGAGAGTCTGTCCTTCCTTCAGCCTCCACACCCCCCAGTCTTTTCTTAAGCTCAGCGGGTTCACATGGGCCGTCAGCCCCACCCTGCCACCCCAGAATGTCTCTTCTGGTCCTGGCAGCCGGCTGATGGCCTCCCACACAGGCCTAGCCTGTGGGGTGTGAGGCATCCCCTTCTCCTGCATTTGCAGCCCGTGGTGGCCCAGCTTACCGCAGCCCCCTCCTCTTTTTAGCCCTGGGGAAACTTCAACCCTGGATGCAGGGCCTCATCGCAGTGGCCGTATTCTTGGTCCTTGTCGCCATCGCCTTTGCTGTCAACCGTTTCTGGTGCCAGGATGAGCCGTGAGTGCTACCGGGGGCCCCTGGGTGGGCAGATGAGCCCCAGGACCCCTGCTCTTGCTCTAGAAGTGGTGAGACAGGCTTCAGAAACCCTGGGCCCAGTCCTCTCACTGTTGGAAGGGAAATAGAAGCTCAAGGTCACAGGGTGGGTTGGTGAGAGTCGGAACTAGAGTCCAGGCTCGCTGGCTCCCACAGCTCTGGTACCCACTCCCCATGACTGCCAGCGAAATGCCTTCTCTCCTCAGAGTTTCAGTGTTTCTCCCTGTAGAGTCAGGATGGCATCCTGGCTTGTGATGGGGGCTGTGAGTGCCTCTGGAAGGAGAGATCCCATCTCCCTGGAGGGTCAGCAGCAGTGCAGAGGGGCCATGGGACAGACGACCCCTGCCTTTGCAGGCTCAGAATAGAGCGAGCTTTCACAAGTCAAGCATTGCTGCTGCAGGAGGCCACAGAGGACACTGTGGGCCTGGCCTGGGCAGGAGTGTCAGAGACAGTGGCATGCTTATCTTGAGACCTGGAGAGCAAGGAAGAGCCAGTCCCGGGGTAGAGTGGTGTGGGAAGAGCATTCCTTGGTCCTGAGTTAAGGGCACGGCACCCGTGCTGTGGGGGCAGATACATGTAGGAAAGGAGCAGGTGGACTGAAGTCCAGCCCACTCTGCATTTGTCAGGCTGGGACCAGGCTGCCTCTGTACCCATGGGCGTCTTTTCGCAGCTCTCACAAAGGTGGCCCAGTGGCCCGGTGACCAAGCAGCTCAGTGGGTGGAGAAAGGGATGGAGAGGCCTGAAAGGAGGCTGATGAGGCAGTCAGGACCCAGGTCAAGTGGGCCCTTGTGGATCAATGACTTGGGCTTTGGGCTGGACCTTAGTGCAGCAGGAGGCAGTGACACATCTTTTTTTTTTTTTTTTGAGTCAGAGTCTCTCTCTGTTGCCCAGGCTGTAGTGCAGTGGCACGTTCACAACCACCACAGCTCAGGCGATCCTTCTACCTCAGCCTTCCAACTAGCTGGAACCACAGACATTCACTGCCACACCCAGCTAATTTTTTGATTTATTGTAGAGACAAAGTCATGCCATGTTGCCTAGGCTGGTCTGGAACCCCTGGGTTCAGGCAATCCTCTCGCCTCTGCTTCCCAAAGTGCTAGGATTACAGGCATGAGCCACCGGGCCCCGTGGTGACAGATCTTTCAGTCAGTGTTGGGATGAGACAATGCCTTCACAGAATCACTCGGGCTGCCACGAGTTGGATACCGTAGTGGCAGTGGGGGTGGGGTGATCAGTCTGCTGGTGTGGAGAGCCATGAAATGCTGAGCACAAGGTCGGGGTAGCGGGGGTAGTCTGGGCGGTGGAGGCAGCCGAGAGGATGGAGGGAAGGTACAGGTCTGAGCACTGTCTAGGAGGTGAACCTCCTAGTAGTTGGACAGAGACAGTAGCAGGCACAAGGGAGGAAGGTGGGGATGACGATGCCCTGGTTTTTGACGGGACTCCACTCACAGAGGCCCGGATCACAGGAGCACAAGTGGCTCTGGGCGCAACTGCTGAGTTTAATTTTGGACAGGTTAAGTCTGATGTGCCTGTCGAGAGTCCAAGGAAAGAAGAGCAGGTGTAGGGGTTGCTCTCACGAGGCCCTCATGAGAGCAGATTCGGGGGCTGCGGGCAGAGCCCACAGTGCAGGGGGTTTGGGCTTGAATATGAAGTGAGAAGCTTGTCATTGGATGCACTTGGATTACACTCTCTCCACCGGCCCCAGCTCTGCTTTCAGTAGCCACTGACCGAATCTGCTCCTACTGCTCGAGACACGTGTTGTGGAAATTTGTTTGGAGCAGACACTGCATCCTGCAGGACCTGCTGTGGGGTCCCGAACTGAGGGTGGCTAGGAGGCTGGAGAGAGGTCCTGGATGCAGGACAAGCCTTCTGCAGATTTCCAGGCCCCACTGTGGAGCAGGGAGAGAAGGGTATGAGGCACTGACAGGTCCTGCTGGACAGAGGTGCTCCTGGGAAGGGGCAGCTGCTGCCCTGCGGGCTTGTGAGAACCAGGGCCCAGAACAGGGTCTTCTTGAATAAGAGGGGCCCTACTGAGGAGACCTACTGATAAACCCTGTCCCCTAGGGACCCCGCGCATATGGTCCTGACTGTTGGAAACAAATCAGATGGGGTCCTGGTGGGAACGGATGGAAGGTACTCCTTGACGGCGGCCAGCTTCAGGTGAGGTGCTGGTGCAGGGCTGCTCGCCTTTGCTCCCAGGGGCCAAAGGGACCTAGGACCAGGTGCTGCCCAGGGGGAGCACAGTGGGGAGGATGAGGACTCATGCAGGTAAAAGCTAATGAGGCCACAGGGGTTTTGTGAAGACTGCGGGATTCTGGGGAGATGCTGCCTTACTGTAGAGTGGAGGTGCAGGAAGGGCATGGGGACTTGGAAAGGGAGGATTCAGCAGGAGATCATGGGGCAGTGGGTACCGTGGGGACAAGGGGCTTGATGGGGGAAGAGGCTTCAGGAAAGGAACCAATGTGTGAAAGGCCTCAATGTGGGTAGAGGGCTCAATGAGGACGGAGCTTGGGGGCTGCAACTCACTCAGTGGGGCGGGATGAGCTGAGGAGGGGATGCAGCTCGGTGGGGAGTGAGCTCAGTAGGGGATAAGCTCAGTGGGGATGTGTTCAGTGGGGACCCAGAGATGGCATGACTCAGTGAAGGGAGATGGGGTTCAGGGAGGGGCTGCTGGGAGGCTTCCAGTCTCGGGTGCACATGCCCAGATGCAGACAGGGGAACCTCCTTCTGGGAGTCAAACATCCTCACAAGCGTAGGGAGAAGCCGATGTGATTGCGCAGGGAGAAGCGGACAGGACTGGAGGCACTATGACCCACCATCCTTGGCCATCCTGTTTCAGGTCCAGTGAGCACGAGAATGCCTATGAGAACGTTCTTGAGGAGGAGGGCAGGGTCCGCAGCACCCCAATGTGACCCTGGCTTACCTGTGGCCTTGGCCCTGAGGCTCCCAGGCACCTGTGAGCAACGCCCAGCACCACCATCCACGCCACCTCCTTCTCCGTGCAGGAATCTACGGTAGTGGCTGACTCCTCCCACCCTGCACTGGCCCGCCTCCTCTGAAGTACAGCCAGCCAAGGCTGGAGTTCACACCATGTCCAGGTTGGGGCTTGGCCATGGCCCTGGTGTCTTCTACCTGGTTCAGAAGAGCCTTCTGAGGAAGATGGTCAGTTCAGCACCCCTCCTCCCCCATGTCTCCTCCCTGGTCACCGTGGACATGGCCCTTATTTCTGTGAAATAAAGACTTTTTGTACCCCTGGGCTGAGTCGCAGCAACAACCTCTCAGGCTCCCAGCGAGGTCCTATCTTGCTTGGATCGCGACCATTGCTTTCTGCCCACTGGCATGGTGTCTTTGGGGGATTACCCAGGAAGCCCTGTGCCCCAGGGCAGCCAGGTCTGAGAGGGTCAGGGCTGGAAGGGACTGAGGGGCTGCATCCAGGGTGGGAGTAAGAAAGAGTCAGTGTCTTTTCTCATGCCTGCGTGTGAGGCAGCCTTGAATGGGAGTGTCTGATGAGCTTGGTGTGTGGGAGAGCCAGGGAGCCAGGGAGGCAGGGAGGCCAGGCACAGCCTCTCTTGCAATTCCTGTCCCCCAGCTCACCATCACCCCCAAGACCCTGGGCCCTTCCTTGTGTAGCTCCCCCACCCCCTGCCTCCATTCGGGAGGAGTGTGTGGGTTCACCCATTACATGGATCTATCCCCCTCCCGTATCCCCTCTGTGCTGCGCTTTGGCACAGGAAGCGCTGGGCGAGAGTCTTGGGTTGAGACTCAGGAAGCCTAGAGCTGAGTCTGGGTCTCCTGTCAACTTGCTGTGTGGCCTTGGGAGAGATGCTATCCTCTCTGAGCTCAGCCTCCTCTTTGTGGAGGATGTGGCCAGTCTCCCCACAGAGCTGGAATAGAACCCAGTCCTCGCTAATGCCTGACTCCCAGTCCAGTGGCAGGAGTTGGGGGGTGGATGGTGTCAGGGAACTGGGCACTAGAGGGCATGGAGCAGGCGTAGAGGATCAGGGCCGCCCAGCTTCTCCGGCTGGCTGCCCCTGGAGGCCCCTCACCTCTGTGACTCTTGGTCTTCTGGGAACAACTTCTGTCTCTCCATCTGGGGTGATAACCCAAGATGAACTCACCCAGGAGCATTCCCAGATCCAGAGGAGTGGAGCCAGCGGGCAGAGGGTAGTCCACCTTGTCCCACAGATCTCCCTCTGCCACTGTCTCTACCAGTCACAGCCCCTTCTTCACTGTTGTGGCCATTCTTTTGCTGTTCAAGGCTCCACCAGATACCCCTGGGGAAGACTCAACCAGAATTATCCCTCTCCCTTCACTGGGGCTTAGTGTGCAGCCTGCAGCAGAGAGAAGAGGTCTGGGGATCAGGAAAGCAGAATCTTTGTTCCAGGTCTACTCCTGTCTTGCTGTGTGCCTTGGGACAAGTCACCTCCCCTCTCTGGGCTTCAGCTTAATGAACGGCAGCTATTGCAATGGATTCCTGCTCCAGGCTTTTGCTCACATGACTTTCTGTGGCTCATGCCTTTTCTCTTCACCTCTGCCACATTAAACTCTGCCTGTTCTTTTTTCTTGGCCTGGCCAAGCCTCCTCTTCCTTAGGATGTCTTCCTTGGTTAGGCCAGAGGGCAAAGCCAGGCCTGTAGCCAGCCCAGCTTCTCACTCGCTGAAGGAGAGACAGAGGTTCCTAGAGGGTCCGGCCTCTGCTGAGGCACAAACACCTCTTCTCCTTTCCAGCCCGCTGGGTGGGACCTTTGGGCTGCCTGGATCCGATTCTCCTTGCATGAAGCCATGATCCCTCTCATCTTTAATCCTGGTTGTCCCTGGGGGATGGATGCGGTTTGAGTTTGGTCTCCCCACCAACCTGCCACCACCCCTGCCTCCCTGCAGCAAGCAACACTCAGCCTCTCACACCCAGGAGGTTTTATCAGGCGGAGTCTGCTTCTGCCCGGACTCACTTTGCTCCCCAGCAGCTGCCTGGGGGGCCTCCCTAACAGCCCCCTTGGCCTCCTCCCCATGCTGTCTTGCTCAATTTGGGCAAGGACTAGGTCGGTGGAACCCTGGGGGCCTCTGCAGGGGCTGGGCCGGCACTGACCTCACAGCCCCTTACCCCACCCCATGTTCCTCCTTGACTGGGGACTGGGAGCAGGGAGCTGCCGGCCCCAGAACCACGGAGACCCCAGTCCTTATCGCTGATTCCCACCTGCCAGCCTGGCCAGATCCAGGAGGCAGAGGAGGCTGGGCCGGGGCCAGGGCGGTGCTTAATGACCCTCCGGGGGCCTAATCGCAGACTGGCAGCCGCGGAGTGGCTCAGGCGCGCTCCTGGAGGAGACTGATAACGCAGCAGCTGGGCCCCCTACCATCTATCGGCCGCACCACCCGTCCCCAGGGGGCGGCCCCGAGGGCCGGGGGAGGGGCAGCCTCTGGACGGGGCGGGGCTGGAGGCGCGCTCTCCGCCCCTGGCCCCGAGAAAGGGGATTCTGAGTTCCTCGAGCGGCAGACGCGGGAGGGACCCGCCGCCAGCCAGAGGGCGGGCTGGGCCCAGCGGGAACCCCTCGGGGCCTGCGGTCTCCTCTCTCCTGCTGTTTTCCCAATCTCTTCTTCCCGCTGGGACCTCTCTTGCCCGTCCAGTCTCCTCTTTGTCTCTCCCAGCCGTTATCCTTCTCTGCTTCCCTGCTTCCCGGTCGCCCCTCCTCTGTTTCTGCTCCATCTTTTGCCTCTCGCTGTCCTGTCTTCCCTTTCTGCCCCTCCACCTGAATCCAGAGCCCACCATCCTCTCCCTCGCATCCCTTGCCCGGTTCCAGCTGGTTCTCCTTGTTGCCCCCTCCCCAGCTCTCCCCTCTCTCCCAAACTTCCCTGATGTCACCCCTTGTCCGGGCAAGTCCACGACTTCATTGGAGTCTCCCTTCTTTTTGGTGGCATGGTCTCCCATGACCCCTTCCACTGCTCTCAGTCAGAACACCCAGGCTGCCCAAAGCCTTGGCTCTAGGACCGGGGTGTTCTTGTACTGTTTAGGGTATTCTTGCTCTTCTTCCTGGAACAGGGCTTGCACCTTTCTTCCTGGTCTTCTCCCAAAAACATATCAGATTCACAGGGCTGCATTATAGAATATACCCAAACTCAGGCAGGAAGGGAAAGGCAGGCTCCACTCAGGACATGCAGAGTTGAAGAGAGACTGCAGCACTGCTTACTTCAGTTAGACTTGAAGAGAAACTTCCCTCCAGGAGCTGATTTTGAAAAAAAGGCTGTGGAGTTTGATCCCCAGAGTCTCGCCTGTTATAGGACAGAGTACCAGGCCATCGAGATGAGTTTCAAGATTATTTCCTTCATAGACAGAGTATCACGGGCAGAAATGCTATTTGTTTTTTGCACTTAGAGGAGCCACCAGATCAGGGCTACTCCTGGGCAGAGCCTCTTCCCCCAGCCTGGGAGTGATAGAGGTGGGAGCAGAGGGTCTTGGGGTGGAGCTGGAATCACTTGCACTGGCCTCTTGGTTCAGCTTCACAGGCAAGTCAGGTGGGTGGGAGGAACCTCCTTACATGCAGATCTGGCTGGGGGTCTTGACTCCCCAGCTCTGCTGTCCTCCCAGATTTTTGTCCCTGGCAGTGTGCACAGTGTCCAGAAACTTGGGCTTGGGGATCATACAGACGGGGTCAAGTTCCAGCTCCACTCATCACTGCTTGCAGGACCCCCAGCCTTTCGGATTCTCCATCCCCTGCCAGCAATTTGGCTCCGTGAGTACTCTCTCAGGGCTGTTGGGAGGAAATGGAGATGGCTCAGATGGCTCCTGAGACTGGCCGGGAGACCTCTGTGACCAGCTCCAATATCACTTCTTCCCCGCTTTCCCCGCCCCTGCCTGCATTAGGTGTTTCCTCTGGGCAGCTCTGGGCCCTGTCTGTCTCTTCCCTTATACTTCCTACTTCCATGTGCTGCTGTTTCTTGTCTGCATCCAGGTCTCCTCAAGGGCAGGAGTAGAATTACATCCCCCTCTGTGTCACCAGCACCCCAGGACAGGGCTGGACAGGGAAAGGGAAGCCCAAGGAGTGGGGAGGAGATCCAAAGGAAGGGGCTTAGACTCCAGTCATCAGTCCAGTTGTGTATCTGTCTGTACCCCTTGACCACATACAGACACAGACATACGTATGCACACATGTTCTGTCTCTTGGGTTGGACGTCCTGGTCCTGAACATTGCTGGTGCGTCTGGCCTTCGTTCCATTTTGGGAGCTGCTCTCCCTCTGTCTGCCTGTAGCCTTGGCTGCTACCTGGTGGTTGCACACTCTATAGAAAGGACGGATTCAGCAGAGCCTTGGGACTTCAGGCAGGCTCTTCCCCATCACACTGGGAACAGAGGCTTTCTGTGGCATAATCTCAGGAGCCCACTCTGGTGATGCCGGTACCTCCTGGGTCTTCCTGTGGGCTGCAAGGGTGACTGGGCCTCTTTGAGCCCTCCTTGTGGCCCCAGTAGACAAGTCCATGAGCACCTTGGGCTCCATGCACTGCTAGGGGATCGGGTGAGGTATGTACGGTTTCGAGGACTCAACCATCCTGTTCCTAATCCACCTCCTCTCTCCGAAATGGTCTGGAAGCCCAAAGTTTCTGCCTTGTGCCATTTCTCCAGGGAGAGGGAAAGAGAGGGGGAGGAAAAGAGAGTGAGACAGAGAAGAGAGAGAGGGAGAGAGAGAGGGAGATGCCAAGGATGAATCCCAGCAGTCCTGAGCAAAGTTGCAAGATGGTGCAGTCGGGGACATTGCACTGGGCTGTGCAGACTGCCTCCACTACCTGGGCCCTGAGACCTGCTTTGAGCCCGTGTCACTTCAGGGAGGGGCACCTTTTTCTGATCAAAGTCCCCAGATAGGCTAGCAAATGGCAGATGCCAGGGGATGGGCAGAAGCATGTGTGGGATGAGGGTATGCTATGGTTA